ACATCGGACAGGATTTGAGGATAGTCGAAGCCAGTTGGAGTGGGTTAATCGAGGTATTCGAGCCTGACCTCTTGGAACTCTCCGTACGACGCGACGCCTGGCCGGTAAGGCCACCATTCTGCGGAACCGCCGCTCCATTCGCCTGTCCGTAAGACATGTCCGGGTTACCCTTAGCATATCCATTCAGACAACCACGTCCGTTACCATCCGCCTTCAAGCACTCCGTCGTACCGTTAGCCTTTGTTGCCGTCGCTACCGTGGAAGTAATTGCCGTATCGCTATTGGAGCGAGACGAAGGCCAGTCGACTTGAGAGGAGGGTCCAGAACTTGGTGCGGCGGAGCTACCGTTGGCATTCCCATTCAGTTGTCCATTCGATTTTTGCTTGTTCACTTTCTTGCCGGAGCCGGCGGCGCCATTCTCATGCCGATTGCTATGACTCTTCCTAGCCGTAGCCGATGAACGTGGCATGGACAAGGGAGCCTAACACCCAGGTCCGAGTCAGCTTGGCAGATGGTAGCCAAGGACTTGGACCAGGCGGGGAGTAAAGACGAGGCAGTATCAGATACACGGGTAAAGAAGGGGAGGAAGAGAGAGAGGGAGGGGAGGCGACGCAGTAAGTGTGCAGGAAAAGGAATGACGGGAGGGGTCTAAAAGCGGTGGAAGAGGAATGGTTGCGGTAAGAAAGGAAAGGAAAGGGAAAGAAAAAAGAGAAGTTGGGATTGAATAATGAGAAGAGAGGGTAAGAAGGCGTGGTGGGGGAGTAAAAAGAGAAGGAAAAATGAATGAGGTTTGGTAGACTTTTGGGTCTGGATAGACGAGGCGGGAAAAAGACGAAACGAAAGGTTGGAACTGATCGTCAGGAAAGAGAATAAGGCAGTAAGGCGACCATAACACCGGTGGCTGCCTCAGGAATCTTACTTTCCGTCTTCAAAAACACGCCTAATCGCCCCAGTACGGAAGGTATGGTATCCACTGCTTGTATGTATCGAAATCAGAGAGGGTCTTACCATACAATACAACACCAGTTATTGAATCTGGTTGGTTGCCGTAGTTTATTTTTGGTCTACCCGATATTACAGATGTTTATGGAACCTCTCAAGCAACCATGGAAATCAAACAGCCATGCGGACGGATATCTACTATTTGATTGCTGTTACTGTGCCTATCTATATAGGAATCCTCGTCTACCTCATCGTAGTCCTCGGTGGACAACTATACTTCTACCTCAAAATAATACACATGTGGGCTCTTTCATGTCAGTGAAAGTTCACTTCATATCCAGTACATACGGCGATGGACCTAAAATCCATACCCGAGACAGTATACTGCAAATGCCAGATTAACCCCGGTCTGTTGCATCAACTTAGGCTGATTCATGGCAACAAAGCTCGGTCCGCAAGTCCACTCCAAGCCGCGGATGGCAATTCTGAAAGTCACCACATTGAATTCTCTCACCCAAGCACTGAACCGCATCCGAGGCTCTCAGGCTCTGATAGCACGACGCTTTATTGTTAACAAGTACCTACTAGTATACTCCAATATCAATGGGGACGATTCGAGGGACTTCGAGATATCAAAACGTATCTTGAACTGTAATTATGGGAGGCCTCGTAAGCCGGATGCTACGTGTACAGGCTACGATCATGTTGACGCCAATGATATAGGTCGAAAGAGCACCATGACCTTCCGATTGCTTTGTTAAACCCCTCATCTCTCGTGCATATTCATAATCCATCACATCATTATCCACCCGGACTAGGATTATAGCATAATCATCTAGGATGATCTGACGATCTCCTCGTTTGTGTGCGGCCTCCTGCGGGGTTGAATACCACATACTCTGTTGATGGTCAGTGGCCAGCCTAACGCTAGATAACAAAAGCCTCCAACGGCAGAGGGAAATCACATTTGCGGCTTTGCCGATCAAGGAGCCGTCAAGATCTTTAGCTAATACTACATAATTGTGTCTTTTTTTTTTTTTCCCCGGGCGCTCTATGGGAGTAATTTATTCGTGGGGAGCAATTGTCCTGTACTTCACATGCGGAATGTTCGGCTAACTTACGGTCTCGGCAGGCAAGACGGATGGATCACTCTTGGCCGGCGGTATGTTGTACAAGGATCGAATCCTAGGGTATAGTTAAAAGATATACAGTAATACTAATAAGAGATAAAAAGCACACTTGGGCGTTTTTCAACCTACCTAATTACGTTCCAAATATGCTGTTCCACAGATATGCAGTAATTTGCCCAAAGCCGGCAATACGATATCTGTTATCCTGTATCACAAGGTTCTTAACATACTTCCCCAGGTCTAGTACAGAATAAACTTTATTGAATAGCTAGTCCATCGCAGGCGATCATTCCTGATATCTCCATTGGTATTTAACGGCTCTCCCGTCTAGTACCAAATATCATGGGCCAAGAGAGCCTCCCGTTATAGGATATAGGAGCGACCATAGCGGGGATTGTTCATGAGATCGCATAGAGCACTACTAGTACGTATACTTAGATCCCGAGAACAATGCCTGACTTTGAATGCCGGTCAGTCTCATTTTCGTGCGGCAGGATACTTTAAGCCCTAAATAAATACCTATGTTTTTGCTTCTAGCCTAAAATGTCAAGTAGGATCCTTCGGTCACATCATACACCACCATACAATCAATACCATTGGCAATCCGTTCGGATTTGGCAAAGCTCCACCATCCATAGCGTCATAGCTCTTGATGTCCTCTGTAAGGGAGATCAAGATATGATAATGCGCTGTTCATGCCGCAATTTTCCCCAAAGTCGTGTGTGGCCTTTCCCAAATCTTCTTCTTTGCCTCGTAGGAGGATCATGCATGCAGTATGTCAGGTGAAGCATCTTAGGGCAGTCTTGGTATCTCTGTTATTCGTTGGATTAGGGTGGAATTTTGAGGATGATCGACGTTCTATACCCGGAAGGGGATGCTCGTTCACGTTTCCACCAATCGTTGGCGTGATGGGGCCCATTGCGCCCCGCAAAGACTACTACCGTCAGATGATACTTACGAATACCGCTCTGATTTGTACAGTACTAGTTACTAGTTACTAGTTGTGTTGTTGCTTTGCTGCTGTGTTGGGTATTTGAACACAAGAAGATACCCCATGTACGAGATATCACGGAGTTCTGCTTGGCAGGTAAATCTACCATCCGCCCAAGGTTAAGTATTTAAGCTTGTCGTTTGAGAAAGTATGTTCGGCAAAGACAAGCTACATACCAGGGCTACGTAGGTTCAGCGACTATTCTGCAACCCCAACAGGACACCCCAGCCCCAGCATTCTTCCCCTATGTCTGCATCATTCGATTTCAACTCAACTCTCTATAATCTACTCTTGTATACAATTTTGCGGTTATCTTCCATCCAGAATACTAACTATAATATCATCTCCACAACCACTAGTATCTGACCGTCGGTGAAAGACACTAGTCTTTCGAGAACAAAGGAGCAAACCAGCTAATATCTATTCGATATCCTCGCATTGGTGAAGCAACATGCTTATTGTTAGGCTTATAGGGGGCCAATGATCCATTTCTGGCCCCAAGACAAACATTAGTATCGGCCTGGGTGGTCTGTATTACGGGCTGCAAGTAGATTGAGCTGAGTAGTATGTTTGGAGCACTACTAATTGTCGAGATTTTAGTGGGATACTAGCCCTATAGTCAAGGAGAAACCTGGTTAATAGCAATATGACGTGAGAAAGAATGGCCCGCAAGATGAGGTACATACATACTATGTACAGCCATGCTAAATATCAATGATTGTAAGGTTGTATCGAACCGGTATCCTTACTTGGGGAGGTATATGCATCCTACCTAATCCGTAGCCGACTATACATTGTTCTAGTTACGGAATTTATGCATTAAGCAATCTACCAAGCAATCAATATAAAAGCAATTTGGCTACTAGTAGACGTAGTCATGGGGGCCATTGGACATCACCATATATTTATGCTATACTGTAAGCTAAGCAAAACCAACCTAGTTTCTGACAGCATAATTAGCGAGATGGCAGCACACGTAATACAATAGAGAAGCCAGGCATCGAATACATAATTCTAAGACATAATAAAATGAGACTGCCACAAGCCATCCAGCCACATCAGTACAATAATCACTACCGCATTCCATACCCGTTTTAAAAAAAACGCCAAGAGCCGACATTTTTTCGACCGGTGGCAGAACTTCCTGTTTTGACTTTCATCTAGCAACTAGCTTTAGGCTGTCGATCATTTCACAATTTGAGGACCAGGGAACCCTGGCTCAGAATCACGTTTCCAGCATGCACCCCTCTCAAGATGTTCCAGCGCATCCACTACAAAAGTCTGACCCATTGTTCCCAATCGGGTACCACTACTGTCATACGATGCAAAAATCTGCTTTCAGGCATCATAGCCGGCAATTGACACATGTGTTTCTATATGCTATTAGATAAAATTATAAAATTTCTCCCTATGGGACCAATCAGTGGGCGTCCCTGGGGAGAAAAAGGGTCTTTACTCGGCTTGGGCCCGAGCCAAGGGCCGGGGCTGGGCCGAACTACTATTCTCTTGTTTTCGATGCCAGAGGCGAGAGTACGTGAAGGGAGCTACGTACGAAGGTAATAGTCGATGGTTTTAGGGAGCTTTTTGTACAGCAATTTATTTTTACAGTTCGCCTGGCGCTAGATTGGTCATATAGGGAGGCTACCTACTTACAGGAACCTACCTACCTAGAATACCGAGGCCTACTGGGCCACTTGATGAGCAAGCTTTTTCTTGGCTCGGAAAGAACACCGCCACCTGAAGAAGATAGATTACAGATCTTGTATTGTCGTATTAGTTTCCGATGGATACATGTGGCTCCTCTGTACGTACGATACAATACAAAATGACAAAACTTTAATATATACGCATGTGTACAGCGGTTACGTACATATATCCTGCTGAAATATAAGCAAGGTACTGTATGAACGCTGGACCACATCAAGTCAGGGGAAATTTTATTTCTTTGCGGACCCTGTATCTTCGACGGCGTCCTCACGATCCCAACTCTCCTTTTCCAACGTTCGCACCCTTGCTTCGATATCGAGGATCCGCTGCTGCCAGAATTTCTTTGCCTTCTCTTGAAGCTCCCAGGTGGATTTGAACTGCTCCAGCATAAATGGTGGCATCTCGGCCTTCTTTCCACGCCTATAATCGTATATTACCAGGTCTTCGTGGACACGGGCAGCTGGTCGTTGCTTCGCTTCTGATATAATTACGGCCTGCAGATTGAATGCGTCTTTGTGCGAATGAGGAGAAGATGGGTCATGTGCTACTTTGTGATAGACCGTGACCTCATCGGGGTATATCATGGGCTGCAGGGGAGACCCTCTCTGTTAGCAAACATGAGATCGTACTTGGGGTTGAGGAGGGTCGCACGAATTTGTAATCGATCTTGATGCTCCTCAGAATGATTCCAATCCCCGTATTTCCGACAATATTCATCCATTCTTTCTTATGAGCCGGATCTATATGTGTGGCAAAATTGCGAGTCATGTATACCCGGCCAGTTTCGGCGTATCGGACGTAGGTGACATTATTAACATGGCCTAAGCAGAATAGTTAGGACTTGGGAGTTGCGACGAAGGCGACACTATTGACGCAGATACATACCCTGAGAAGAAGTCAGCCAATGTACCGAATAGTCACATAGTTTTGATATGGGCTTTATCAACGTACCATGGTATCCTGTGATCCATACAGACGTCCTGTATTAGCACAAGTACATTATGCCAGATATAAGGTATGTTGGCCCTACCATCTCTCCCCAAGCAACGCTCTGCCGGAAGAGGCCCCGTCTTGTCGCATCTGTTAAGTAACCTTCACTCCCAGCTATCAACTCACGCCAATCCCTCGCAATCTGTTGCAATATCTCTCCGGCTTCTTGAACTTGTGTCGCTTTAGGCCAAACATCATGCACCTGCCCAATCTCCTCTTTGTCATGGTAAGCCATCGGGGGTCGATCTTGTGGGGTTGGGGTGCGGCAGTTTTGGATGAATCGGCATTTCGTGCTGCAGGGGCTGATGTCGATAGGGTACGAGTAAAAAGGGACGAGTGTTCTGAAGTAAGTGCAGTAAAGCAATGCCTTCTGAATGCGTGAATCGGGGTCATTTTCAAGCAATTGGGCGTCGATACGTTGTGGTTGGAGATGTTTTGGGATGCTCCGGTTACAACTCCGGCAATGGGAGTTGTGGAGTAGGCCTAGGTTGGGTGGGTCCCCAACCCCAATATACTCCGTAAGGCAGCTCGGGAAGTATTTCTTGGTTCACGGTGCCATTTCTCCAACACCAAATCCAGTTTCATATGGACCACTGTATATTGCATTGATTCTATATGGTAAACCCATTTCACTTCTCAGCTTTTGTTTTTGGCATAACCTAAGCTGGTGAGAAATATGTGCTAAGCTACTCAGATGGAGAAATGACCGGACTCTCACCGTCCCCACTTACACATCGTCGAGAGAGATAAGTAGCTCGAAGCAGAATAGTGTGAAAATCCCTAGGTTTACTAGTATTATTTCGTTACTCAATCTACCAAGTACTTATCTTAATATTTATTCATCAAAGCGAGCGACAATAGTTGGAAATTGCAAAACACAAGCAGGATGTCGACCAGCGATCTCTATTCGAAGATGTGGTAGATAGCTGCTCTGGTTTGAACGTGGGCGAACCTCTCAGACTTAAACCCCGCTTAAAATTGACGACGACGAGACAAACTCCTCCTCACCAAGGTCGAGTTCCTGCTCATACCCATCATCTTCACACTCTCCCAGTAATCACTGGTACCGTGGGTAGGGTCACTATCCTGAGCATCCTCTGCATCGCACAAGGAACCCTCGTCACCCGTTCCATTGGGACCAGAGACCTGGAAATACTCGCGGTCATTGGATGCAGCGTCCTTAACCATGTTTTCTGCGGCCTCTGGAAGCCATCCGTTGATGAAATCTCCGTGGCTGCAGTAGGAGGAGCCGCAGGCGAGTTCCAAGGGAGGGCTACCGGACCAGCCGTCTGGGAGGATTTCCCGCAAGTCGTAACGGATAGAGAACCGGAGACGAGGGATACGCTTCATTCCAATTGGGCAACGATTCTCACCATAGCCATCTACCCAATTGGGGTTGGCCGAGTAAGCATACTCCAGGGTGTCTGGGTTGGCACAGTCGGGAAAGAGGAGAAGAGTCTGCAGATGGTACTTGCACGTCTCAGTTGGGAAGGCTGCGTCGTCTTTCTCCTCTCCTTCCTGACTGTCGCAGAACCATTGGATACCAGCGTTGCCATCCACGCCGTCCTGGGACGTAGCAGTGGCATTGCCCGCCAGAAGTTTCATGTTCTGGGGGATGGCAATCTCGGCACTGCTGACATCGACATAGTAGGCGCTGAATCGGAAGATAGGGACTGCGGTATAATTTGAACCATCGACATGGTAGAGGGTTGGAACCCCTGGTTGCATTCATAAGCCTCAGCAGTCACATGCGATACCGAATATACTTACAGTAGGTCGAATAATCGTTGGGGTTCTTGGCCGTGGAGCAGCCCTTCTGCAGCTCTTCAGATGTTTTAGTGTTGGCAGTGATAGCATCGGAGCCAAAGAAGCTGTGCATATGGCTGGTGTATTTGCCAGGGACCACCAGAGGATCGATGTTTTTGAACATGAACAACCCAACATTCGTCACTGTGTAAGCTTGTGCAAGGCCCGCCGCCAGGGCAGACAGAACAATAGAGCGCATATTGAAAGAGCGACAGGATAAAATGAAAGACTGGATGTAAAAATAAAAAAAAGAAAAAGAAAAAAAAAGAATGAACGACAGCAATTGCACAGCACTTTACAGACTTCGGGATACTCCAGCTTTTATAGTAGATACCCTACGTCCACGGTACCCAGTCGGGTAGCTTCTCTTGATACATCCTGCTTGGAACTGTTGGGGTCATTATGGGCCGATTGATGGATAAGGGTCAGGATAGCGCAGTAACTCTCCCCAGTGATAGTCAGGATCCAGAGATACCATGAAGGACAACGGTCAGGGTTTTTAACTATATCCGGCAATGATCACCTCATCGTCATGACGCGTTCTCAGTAATTGTCGTGATAGCGGTTGAGATGGATCTAAGCGAGAGAAGTCAGTGTTTCACATTTGCCGCCGAACGACTGGGTCTAGTTTAAGGTTCCTCAGCTGTAGGGGCAACTGACTCGGTCGAGATCAATAGCCAATATGTTAGTCCATGGAGATATATTAATTTACCCACCCGAGCGTCAGAATTCGGCGGCAGAGACCACATTGAGACATTGTTCCCTTCTACCTTGAATCCCTGTCGAGTGAACCCCCCTCCCCTTTGTCTCTGTTCTACATTATTCGTATTGACTTGCAAATGATATCTTTCCTTTTCCTTCCAAAATCCTTCCCTCCAAAGATAGAGTGGACTTTGCCATCAGGTGTGTGTGGAGACCCGCAACAAATCTAGTCTACTTCAGTATATACTCCCGGTTTACCTAGAATAATTCCACCTTTCATTACCTTTGCCAAGCTTTCCCGTATAGAGGCACGAGAGTCGTGCGAACGGCGCTGAAGTGCAGGAAAATTCAACAGTCCCAACTCCAAATACTGGAATTCGAAGAGAGCGAGCTTATCAGTAACTGGTTCAGGAAGCGCCTGAAGGATATCGATGGCCGTGTTAAAGCAATCAATGGTTTTCAGGCAAGAGGCTTTATTGACCTCTATTTAACAAACACCAATAATACAGGCCATACGTGTGTGGTGTCGCAGTTATCCAGATTTTCCAATGGCCAATGTCCAGTCTAAAGGCCTTCATGATGTGGTCAGAGCAGCAGTCCCTCTCCAAGATCCAAACCACCGACAGGCTGCCAATGACAAGGCTATACATCCAGAAGGCGCTGTCATTGTGGACTTAGCTGTATATGGGCATGGCATTAACAGGTTTCTCCTCAAGTACGGACCTAATGACCTTGTTTCAATGGGCGATGAAGATCCTGTAATTCTCGCACAAGCCGGTAAAAAATAAGTGACAAGCGAATTGCTGCCTACAAGGATATGTCGGAGAGATATTCTCGTTATCTTCGTGATGAACGCAGTCCGCCTAGCCCTTTGGCCAATTCGAGACCCCCGACTTGGCCCTGTGAGCTTGACTGGTTCCTGTGACTGAAAATTGAATTTAGGAACTGCAGCTCAGGAACTCGCCCCCCACTCTTCCCCAGCATGCTGCAAGCTTTTATTGAGCATAATTTAGGGTTATGTCGGCCTGGCAGTAAATAACTTTTGTAATGACCAAGAAAGTAGTAAAGAGGAAGAAGATGTTTGCTGCTTTTGTTATCCGTGCTACGACGTCACCGGGTAGTTTCGGCCAAGCAAAGTAAAGCAAACATCAACTCCAGCCCATTTATCCCGCATCCTCAACACACCTTTCTCCTTCACAATCCTCTTCCTTCGATCTTCATTTTCAACAATTCCTTCGAGCTCAAGTAGGTGAACAATGACGAACCCTGAACTTCGTCGGCAAGTAATCAATATCTATAAAGGTTTGTATAGTAGCTTTACTGGAGCCTCCTGATTCAATCCACAATGCATGCTGAGTTGCGCTAATCTTGTGAGCGATAGAGTTACTCTTTCTTGGACGTAACTATCCACTGGGCTATGAATACTTTAGGAATAGATTGCACAAGGCGTTTGCCAGCCAGGCACATCTGAGGGATGATGAGCAGATACGGAAGGGTATAGCACGGGCGAATTTCGTGAAGAAAGGTATGTCCCTTCAATAGAAGGTAATAGCTTGAATGTGGCTTACCTGCTGGATTGTAGAGATTGAGGCACTGTGAGTTTTCCTCATAATTTAAAATTTTTGACTTCGCCCCCTTCAGCAACTTTCGATTACCATCTACGATCACAGTGATCCTACCAAGTCTATGGTAACAGACAAGCTTGTTTAAGACTGCTGTCTCAGCCCTTTCCCAGTCAATTATCATTATTCATCTATCATGCAATTGCCAAGAGAAACATTGTCCGTCTATACTAACGAAAAACGACCAGGTACTACTTGAAGCGATATCGCACGTTGAAACAGCGCTATGAAAACAATTAGGGCCAGCAAGGCAATGAGACATATCACGCCTTGACAGAAACGAAGTATACACATGGAAAATTAACATAAATGGGGTATCACCAATAAGAAGTGAGCAACGGGCTGCTCTGCTTTTTCTGCTTTTTCTTTGCTCGTCCACCCAAAAAAAACCAGACACTTCTATGATTTCTTCGTGCTAGGGGTTTTCTTTTGACCCCACCAAGCACTCACTTCCAAACATTCGCCGTTTGCAAGGCCCCCTTTCTGGAACACATCGGCCATCATGGCTGTCCACCACCTATCCCATTCATCTCTACTCTTCCCGCTGGCCTCCATGAGGATAGGCTCCATGCCCTCGATCATCTGGATTACAGTCAAAAGAGCTGTGCGCCGGATGGACATTTGATCTGCCGTTAATTGCTTGCGCGCGCTGCCGCTACAGTCCTTGCTTTCTCGTTCCCACCGTAAGTCGCCTAGTGGTATAGCAATCCGGCGGCTATCCACTTTCTCTAAGACATCCACCTCGGAGTTAAAGGAAAGTCCAATCGTGGCACAAGGTAGTGCAGTGAGTTTGCGATGGTCGAATGCTTTCTCAGCCCAAGAATTGTAGTCTTGAAGGAACTTGTTCTGTACTCGTGTGAATGGTGTAGCAGGCGAAAATGTGTAGGTAGCAGTCGCATCCGCAATTTCTTGTTCCCTAGATGCTAATTTGCGAGCAGGTGCAGGATTGGGGAGCAATGATCGGAACACCGAATCGGAGTCCCATACTTCCAGGACGCCGCCCGGTTTGAGAACTCGTAAAGGCTCGCTCAAGCCGGAAGCCTGCAGCGCTGGACTGGAGGGGCACATCGACGCATCCTTAATGAAAACAAAATCGAAATAATCGTCGGGGAAAGGCAAACGAGGCTTCCGTAGATCATGACGCTTAAATTGCCAATTGACACCCTTTTTGCGCAAGTCGGGTGCTAAGGAAACGAGGTCAATACCGTGGAAAGCAACATTGCGAGCGCCACGACGGGTGAAATAGTCATGAGACAAGCTTGACCAGAGACCCGATCCACAGGCGATCTCGAGCACACGCTGGGGAGGGCGATCGGCAAAGTATGGGTTGCAGAAGGGGCCTCCGAAAACACGCAGCAGCATTAGAGAGCGCAGGGTTTGGCGATGAATTTCCGGGAGATCGCATGGTAAAGGGTACAGATTTTCGGGGTCGCGCAAGTACGTGCGATCGCCCTGACGGATGAGAGGATAGTTCGTGTAGTCATTCAGGGAGTTGAGCGAGGAAGTGGACGTCGCTGCTCTGGCAGGACCGGTTGAGCTTAGGATCGAATGCAAGTCGGAGCCAGAAGCTGCAGCGGGGGCGAACGCCGCCGTGCTGACTGACATCATATCCATTTCTGAAACAAAATCCCCGTTCTCATCGGTCGAGCGTTAAGGTGGATCTGCCAGGGATGGTTTGCATTCTCGTGCACAGCAGGAGTCAGTAGTTCAAAGCATTGTACAATTATGGTTGGAACCGAACACGAGGGCGCTTAGAGATCGGAAAGAGAAAGTCTAAGGAGGGAAGGGAAGAAAAGAACTATGTCAGGACGCAGTCCGACGCAGAGAATGATCCATGGAAGAGAGAGAGAAAGACGGATCGAAAAGAGAGCGAGAGGGGGGCAAGAAAAAAGAGCATCGTGACAGCAAGACCACGGCCAAGTCCCGTCCCACGACCCCTAAAAGCGGCCTGTCCACTCCACTACGACCGGAGCCTACTTAATACTACTCTATATTGGGTTACGGAAAAGTTCTCGGTCTTGCATTCTTCTGCCTTATGATTTCTTCCGAGGCGGTCAACCGATGCGAGCACCGCTGGTGGTTCTTGACTGACTGGTCTCTTTTTTTCGATTTTTGCCTCACACCACGGATACAACTGTTACAGACGGAGAAGAGCGATACTCCGTCCACTAGTGGCGGAAATCCTGCATAATGCCCTGCAAAGCCGAGCACCCACCCCGCCACCGCCGCCGTGTGGATGGATCACCGGGTGTCTGGTTGTTTACGACTTGTACTCCGTAGTTCGTCGTTCGTTTCAGCTCCTCAGCCCCCCTTGGTCTGTGATCAGTCTTAAAGTTCACGGAGTACATCTGTCAGGTCATGCGCAGGAGAGTTCAAGAATTGACGATCGGAGAATCGGTTTGAAAATCGGTCGCAGTGGAACCGTCGCACCAAACCGAAATTTTTGAACCGGACACCCAACCACCGTTGAGGTCTGGAAGCTAACGTAGGTACAGACTTTGATAGTGGCCACTAACTCATTACAGCTACTTTGATTAGTTGTGGAGATTCGGTAGAACATGAGAGGGAAATGAAATGAATGAAAAATACAACATGAAAGCATAAGGCGGGCCGCTTCTTTTTTTCTTTCCCTTGGAACCTAGAAAATGGTCCGACTTCTTGACCTCATGATCTCATTGCTCCCCGATGCTGATGCCAATGGGTTCTAGCGACGCTCACAAACAGGTGAAGTGACACGGAAGAGCATTGAATCGATGACAACATTCCCCATACGCGGGATGCTCCTCATTGGACTTCCACCATATGGGGAATTCCGGGTGGCGGTCCGGTCTGAGAACAAATGCGGTGCACGTGCTGGCACGGGTCACTGGGTGGCCTGAGGCCCTAGGTACTTTGGCAATGGAGCATCGATGCAGGCTAAATCACGTTGTTGTTTCAGAGAAGAACTGGGAATTGAGGGGCAAGTTCATCCTTCAACACGGTCTTGGCCTCAATTGACTTTGGAGGAGCCTCCAAAAGAAAGACAAGAGTCCGCTCTATACCGGTTGTGCAATACTTGCAACTCTCTGCCGTTTCTTGGCATCAAGCTATCGTTCTTGACTCAGCACTAAGCTCTCTTGAGTGTGGTAGAATAAGGGTGGAATGACGGATATAGCCTATATCGGCTGAAACTGTTCTGATTTGGCATCTAAGAGGGTTGACTATGAGTGACCAAGAAGTTCCGGCGTAGGTAAGAACGGGCATTGCTGACCATTGGAGATGGCTTGATTTAAGGAGGAATTAGTGTGATGGTTGTGTTGCCATATGATGCACTTTGGAAATGATAGTCGGCCAGGCTTGCGTGTCCCTTTGAGCAGAATATGTGTATAAGCTTTTTAAATAGTAGAACTACTTAGGATTGATCTTAATTGCTACCTCTGAGTGTATTCTCTACTGTTATTTTGGTGTACAATTCAGGGTACCTTCAGCGTTAGAGTGCCTATATAGATCATAAGGTGATTGTGGAACCATTTCAATCTCATCTGCATTTGCAGGGTGATTCTTGGCCTCGCACCAGCTATCTGCCTGTGACATGAATGCAGGAACATGAGGTGCCCTAAATATAGATTGGAAGTTGGCACATCCGTAATAAAGGACAACCCAATTTCCAAGGCAACCACCAGAACCAACAAAGGGAAGGGCCTTTTCATTGGGCGTTGGTACTAAGTCAGCGTTTGAGTCTTGCAGATTCAACTGCATATTTTGAAAGGAAAGGTCACACAATATGGTCGCAGTTGACTTCATCCTTTGTTTAAAGACGGAGATCAAGACACCATGCGATACTATAGTTCCCCCCTAATGGAAGATGGTTGGTTCAACCCACATCCGTTTGTATTTGTTTTCAAACCATGTGCGACTGGGATGTATTGTAGTATCAGCTTGGAGGGTAGAGCTGGTTGGCTAGAAAGGGTACGTTGGGGGCTGGTAACTATGAAGCCCGTTCCACCCGACTATTGGGGTGGAAGTGGATAAATCATAAATCGAGGTAAACACTTCCAGATTTCATGGTAGGGTCCATGGAACCGGGAACAACAAAGGTCATTGTTCCGGGATGGATTCTGTTCCTCACTAGAAGCCACATTTTGTTGAACAACCGCTACTATTCATGGACGAGAGATTGGTAGAAGCAGAGTCTTCTGGTCTGGACATGGCTGAAAGCGACGAGTTGTGAGAAGAAACAAAATCCGGGCGTCTTGAAAGCGGTCTTGGCTGATCGGCGGCGGCGAATCACGCCCTCGGATGCCGGGGCCACGTGATCCCAGCGACTCCCGCCTTGGATGCAAAGCACTTCGCAGCGTCAAAGCGACGAGGGATTCATCTCCACAAGCCTTGGACACCTCAGATACATCTGTTCACCGATTTATACGTGCCGTTCGTGAAATAGTTTGAACCTCATTGTCCTTGGGGCCACTGTTTAACTCCGCTCCAGGCTTCTCGCTAGACCGCCTCCCCCACTTGTTACTCTGACTCTCGCTCGTCCGACGCCGGCCCCTATCGTTCGACCGTACGTCACCTGCCAGACTTCATGACCTTCGGTTGCGACTGAGATTGACAGCAGACAATTTTGTAGTGGAATTGCTGCGGTTGTGATTTCCAGCGCGACACCTTGTTTCGGGGCGGTTCCGCTTCAGGACCCCATGTTGAAGAGAAGGAGAGAACGAACCCGGTCCCCGACTCCTCCTCGCTCTCCTGCCACTGCTCTGCCTCCAGCGTCGTTGACTCTCACTGTCTCCAAATCCCCCCTCAAGCAAATAACTCACGGTCTCATCTGCCACGTTAAATGGCAGATGGTACCTACAGGTTCCAGCAGCCTGGGGCCGGGCAGTTCTTCTTTCAAACGCAACAACAACAGCAACAACAACAACAACAACCACCTTCTCA